TTTTTTTTTTTCATTTTTGAAAAATCTGTAATCAAGGAGATTGAGTTGTGGTTTGGCAATCTATTCAAACGAAACAGCTTAAGAATGAAAATTAAGAGAGAGAGCGACAGAAACAGAAGATGGTATCAAATCGGTTGCAATGAGAACGGATGTGTGAAGGAAATTAAGCAAGTCGATAGAACAGATGCATACAAGTAGACAGAAGTAGTAGGCATAATGAGTAGTGTGACATAGATTAGAGCTTAACTTCCAATATGGAACAGACTAAAATATGCGATGCAACAAAAGAATCACATAAGTCATCAGAGAAGGAGGGGGGAGGACAGAGGGAGAGAGGATGAGTTAACGGAGACGGCTTGGGTCAAAAGAGAACTTACAATTATCGAGAAAGACATATGTTTTCCATATAAGGTAAGAAAAGGTCAAAAGAAGTAAACGAGAAGAGGCGATGACGATAAAAGAAAAGCAAATAAATCTCTGTTCGCGTTAAAAAAAGAAAGTGTGGGGAAATTGTTATGAAACTATGTGTGATTGACTAATTATGACGTGTTCCATTTCATATCATTTTTAAACTACTTTGCAAAAACTTCAAACTCATATACTTTTAGGCTAAAATAAACTCTTTTTTTCTTCTTCTGACATTCTATGTTTCAATGCGACGATGAGAGGACGTGAAGGGTGTGGAGAGAGACATGGAGACGAGAGGGAAATTCGGAAATTCTCATCCAAAATCTCTCCATTTTCTCTCAAAAGTAAACCTTTTATCAGCCTTGATAATTCGTTTTTCTTGTTTACTCTAGATGTTACAACTCTGTAAAGAGAAGGGGAGAGAAGGGGTGAAGAATATTTGTGTCTTGAAAAGGCTTTAAAAATAAAAAAGAAAAAAAAAGATTGACAAGCCAAAATGACGAATAGCCTTCAGAATTTCTGTAATTTACATGAAATGAAGCCATATATCAGAATGAGGGAATCTATTCCTCCATAAAAAGCTCTGTCACTCAATTTTTTTTTATTTTTTCGTCATTCAAACTCATTAAATGCTAATCAGATTAATCCTCCGACTGTCAACTCAATGATGATGACAAAGACATTTTTCAAATTTTGAATCAACGTTTCATGTTTCGAACACAAAAAAGTTTGTTCATGAAACTCTGTTCAAGAATGGAAGCAAGAGAGAGAGAAGAAGAAGAGTGTAAGCTAATCAGATTAATTGGGTTTAAGCTCAAAAATCAATAGATGAATTCATAATTTGTGAATGAAAGTCATCCAGACTTGTACTCTTAGTGGACACTTTCAGACGGATAATTGGATACTTGACCAAAATTTACAGAGAAATAGAGGGAAATATAGAGAGTGAGTATCGAATGAAGGAGAAAGCCACAGCGAAAGATATGAATGCTCCCTGTGGCAGACACATGGTCAAGTAAAATCGAACAACAAGCGAATATCACGCCCATATATGAGGATTAAGCTTACAATTAGTTTGAAGGGTAATAGCCTTGTATGGAAATTGAAATATGTGAAGAATGGAATTTACCTTCATTAGAACTCCTATTGAAGACAAAAAAAAGTGAGAGAGTATTGTAGTTGTAAAACTACAAAATGAAGGTAAAGAGAGAAACAGAGGTCGTTCCAAAGGGGAAAGGAAGAAAAATGTTCGTTCAAGATGCTCGCAGATCACACAATGTGATTTTTTTTTGTTAAAAACGAATGAAATGGATAGCAATAAAGACGACCCAGGGAGAAAATGAAAAGACAAGAGGAAACAAGGAGATAGAGACCGTAAAATGATGAGGAAAAAAGATTATAAAATGCTTTACCGACATCTGAAAAAAGAAGAAGCTTCTCTCTTCCCTCTCAACTACACTTCGTTCTCTAACTCTCTCTCTCTCTCTCTCTCATTTTACGGCAATTCCGTTCTAAAAGTGATAAGAAAAGACTCAGATGAGCAGAACGCGACCAAGAAGCTATCGAGGTCATAATTTGCCATAAAAGGGAATTTAGGCAGGGCAGGCTGTGAAATCTAAACAGATGATGAAGTAAAGTATGGAAGAGAGGAAGCAAAACGATACAAATTAGGAAGTAAGAAAAGAGGAATCCAGAGAAAGATGGAATGTTCGGATGGAAAATGAATAAGTGAGAGAGTAGACAGAGAAGAGAAAAAGGGAAATGTTGAGAAATAAAATAATAATTGGAAATTGTTTGAAATGTTTTGCTGGAAGACAACCAACCAGCCAACCAACCACACGACCCTTTTTACCATCCAGCTTGATTATCGATTCACCAAAAACATCCTGAGGTTTTTAGAGAAAAAAAAAGAGAAGAAGAAGAAGGAGAATCAAAGAGCACTTAATTCTTCATATAAATGACTCGAAAAAAAATTTTTAGGGCGAACATTCAAAGCTTCTGCCTGCTTTATCCTGTTACAAACTTCCGCAAAAAACGAAATTCAAATCAAACTTTCAGATAGACATAGAGGCGTGCGGATGAGATTCAGAAGAAGACAAGTTCGAAGCTTTTTTTCTTTAAATTTGAAGTTCATCGATTTCAACGTTTTTTGTCGTTTTTCTCTTCTCCATTCGAACATTGAGAAGGAGACTTGAGCTTTATCAAGTAATATTCAAAACTTTCAAAAATGAGATTTACAGCCATGAAATGTTTTTGTTGTTTGGTAGAAGTAGAGGAAGACGAACAAGTAGAAGACGACGAAATAGTAGAAGACGAGCAGAAAAAGTATTTTGTACTTTAAGCTCAACGCCAAATAAGGTAGAATACAGAAGATTTTGATGAAATTTCAATCAATGAGCCAAAACAGGAGAAGGGGGGGGGAATATAAAGAATGACCAAAAATGACAAGAAACGAAAAAAAAGGAGAAAAGAGGAGTGAGGGGGGGGGAGAGAGAGAGGGTTGGCATATCATGAATAGACGATGGAAAGCTTTCTGAAACTGAAAGAACTTGAATAACAAAAAATATTTTGAAAGAAAAAAGAAACTTTAAAATTTGCTTTTCAATTCAGAACAACTAAATTCTATTAATTAATTATCATAATTGGTATGGATGTGGATGACGATAATGTATTTTTCGTTTTTATGATAAAAATGTAATTATTTTAATATGAGAAGAATATGAAATGCTCTTAATCCCTTCTTTGCCTCACTTTCGGCTTCTCTCAACTTTTATTAAGAAAAGCTATCTCTCCTTCGTCCCTTCTTCTTCCTCTATTTTCATTTCTTCAATAACTGATAAAGAGATCTTTCATTTTTTCCATTTTCAATTCTAAGCGTTTGGAGATGAACAAAAAAAAATAAAAGAAAAGTTCTTTTGAAATCAAAACGAAAGTCCTTTAGAGGGAGTGAGTGTGTGTGTGTATGCCATCAGCTACACAATACATGAAAAATCAGTTTAAATGCTTGAAGGAACAACCGCTCTGTGTGTCCGTACATGACTTAAATGATTTCGTTCATATAGACTTAATCTAAACATATGCTAATTAAGTCATATTATGCTAATTTCAAATATTGAAAGGTAAAAATGTTTTCTATACGATACTCATTATAAATCTTGAAAGCAATGGCTAACCACTTCTTGAAAGAAAAAAGGCCAAATAAGGCTTCAAATAGTGTGTTCTCTTCTTGGAAGAAAAGATAACAAGAGTAAGAGAGATAAGTTGAAATATAGAGAGATTATAGAAAAAGATTCTTTCACTCTCTCACCCTCTCTTATGCTTTATCTATCTATTACTCTTTAGTTCAGTTGTATGTTGACATCAGCTTACGTCAGCTTGTCTGCTTCTCTGCGCTTCTTCACACGTTTTTCAATTCGTTGCGGTCGTTGCAACTCAAAATTTATATGAATGAAAACGACAACTTGAATGGAAACACTCAGCATTCAAGAAGCTTCATAAATTACAAGCTATATATGATTCTTTTTCTTTCGTTTCTTTCCATCTTTTTTTTTTCCGGCTGCCATACAATTTACCTGCCAATGAAGAGAAATCATTTAGAAATAGAATAAGAGAGAATAAGAGAGAAGCGAAAAAGGAGGCAAAAATATATTTGATGAGAATAAATATAGTAAAAACAACTTTCGTTACTGCACCTTCTACTACTACTCTCCCTCTCTCTATATAGCTGTCTATCTCTCTGACTAACTCTTTGTGGCGAACTAAGAATTCCTTTAAACAACACATAGCTTCCAAACAGATCAAATACATGAAGCTAAGGGGAGTAAACGAGGAAGTGAGTAAAGACTAGGCAGAACGTCTAAATCAAGCAATGGAAAAGCTGGATGGTCGATCGCTTGGACCAACAAACACAAGCTATTCCCGGAGAAAAAAAATGTTGATAAACAAGCCCAGAAAGACTATGACATGGATGGAAAGAATCGAAACTGAATGATTCAAAACAAATTTTTACTTTAGCAGTCGTTTGTAATAAAGAAAGAAAATTATTATTTGCTCCTTCTCTTAAATAAAAAAAATGTGAAAGAGAAGTAAAAGAAAAGAAGGAAATGAGCTATGGCTTGAAAGGAAAAGCGAAAAATTTTTTTGTTGCTCATTTTCGTTGCTATTCTTGCCTTCTCGACTTCTGACCGCCAGAAGATTTCAAGTTGCAAGAGCTAGATAAGATATTAAATGATAAATGGAGAAGAAGAATGAGCAGAAGGATATGAGGAGATTGAGATGGAAAGAATCTAAAAATGGCAATTGGATAGCTAGTGTGAGGGTTAGGATGAAGACGTCAAAAAAGGGTAAAAGACTACAAAGAGAGATAATGAGAGATAATCTTTGATAATAATACTCTCTTCTTATTAATGTATTTACTTTTAAATTTTTCCAGCAAGATTGAAGATCAACGCTTGGATTATTTTAATTAAATATTTCAAAAAGGTCATGATAACTATTAGAATCTTTGCTTTTATGCATGAAAATGGATATTAACGTTGTCATAAGCAGCAGACAAGAATGTGATACGTAGAGAGTTTGAAATGAAAACTAACTTGTTATCCATTGAATTATCCATATTTGGTTGGTCTGCCTGATACGTTGGAGGAATGGATGATGACGATGATGAAGATGCTGAAGGAACAACAGCAGCTTCACCTCGTTTCTTCTTTCGTCCACCAGTTTTCTTCATTCGTCGAAACTGTTCATACCATCTATTGATGCGACCTCAAAATATACAATTATATATAAGATATAAACATTAGCAATGAATCACAATACAGCTTTTCTTTTAAGCTTAAAAGTTAGATAGCTAATTGGCTCAATCAACATTTCAAAATAATGAGTTAGTAAGCTGTTTATCCATTACAAATTCAATTGTTAAAAATAAAATTTCAATGAACATAAGTTATATATATATATACATATTGTATATATATATATATATATAACTATATATATATAGTTAACGAAAACATACTTGCACTTATTTTGCTTAACAACTTCCGATGAGAAAAACAAGTTGTTATGAGTTGATGAGCTAAAGTAAAATCAAATCCTTCCTTTGCACCATTTTCAGCTGCCACCTGTAGAGGGACGTATGCGTATGTGTGTATATTGAAAGAGAATCTCTATTTTGAGATAAATAAAAAGTATTACTTGTAAAGCCAACATAAGATTATCTTCAAAATAGTTTGAGAAAGCACGTTGATCACTGCACCATTGGGTTAATTCTGTACATGCAGAATGAAACGAAATCACATCAGATAGCGACTGAAATAGATTTTGAATAAGTAATATGTACATATATATATATATATATATATATCAAAAATATCTATTTATATATTAATATTAATAATATGATAAATCGATAAATCGATAAACACAACCGCTTTCCATCTATTTCACATATCAAAATGAACTTTGACCATGCGGCTCACGTGAGCCTCACGTGAATTGAATATAAAAATGCAAATAACGTTTGAAAGTAATAATAATGTTTTTTAAACAAGTTCTCACAAAGTTGTTTATATGTGTGTGTGTATGTGTGTGTGTGTGTGTGTATGTGTGTGTGTGTTGTGTGTGGTAGAAAAGAAACAACATGAAAAGTGAAAGTGAACTTACATTTCTAATGGAAATTAATCGTTGATTATTCTTTTGTACATGTTCTTCATAAGAAATATCATCCGACATCGCAATGGAGCAAGAAGAAACAAGTCATGCAGAAGATTGAATAACTCTATAACATCATACAGTTAAAACAATTTATGTATTATATATATATATATAATATATATTTAAAAATAGTAATGAAAGGTAGATGAATAGAAAGAATTGTCAGAAAAACCCAGTTTCCTGATTCTCTTCTGTCAATAATTCATTGTAAAATAAATAGAGATGGTCAGTAGTTTTAGCAGCTTTTAGTTCCAAAAACATTTTTTTTCTTATATTTCTAATAAAATGTATGAAATAAGGATAATGAGAATGATGGAGATCAAGAAAGAGAGAGAGAGAGAGAGAGAGAGAGAGAGAGAGAGAAAAAGAGTTCGGAGGGAGAGGTAGGCGCCGAAAGAAGGAGGGATGACGAAATTACTTGAAATAATGAAGAAGCACAGTAAGATGGAATGAGAATGAAGACGATGACATATTGTTGTTTTCTCTCTCTCTCTCTATCTCTTCTCTCTCTCTCTCTTTATTGTTTTATTTCAACTATTATTAAAGTATAATAGATTATATTTATATCAGTTGTGATTACGCATGTTTAAGTTCTGATAAAAAAGGCTTAGCAAACAATCGATTGTTACATTCTATTAGGAATATTGGCTATTGAAGGAAAAAATAAAATAACAAAATAGTAATCGGATATAATGACGTTTAAATGAATGAAAAATGATGAAGAAAGAAAAAAAAAGATTTGTATTGGTTATAAGCAGCCGAGACAACACAAATCAAATACTATAATAGGAAGAAGATAAGAGATGAGATGAGGATGTGTCAGTGAGTAGTTAGCTAAAACACCACCCGATCTCTTATCATACAGTCCATATATGTGTGTGTGTGTGTGTGTGGTTGATAGAAAATGAAATAAAAAAAAATGAAAATTTTCGAAAAATCACGTGAAAAAGCGTGGCAAACATTATTCAAATTTTAATGAAGACCATGTAAGCAAAAACATATGGTTGATACAGAAAGATTCAACTTGTTGATTGCTTCAAAAGAAATACAGAAGTGAGAGAGGGAGATGGGAACAGAGGGAGAGAGAAAGAGAGAAAGAGTATGCAAGGGTGAAGTAGGAATAGAAAGAGAGAGAGAGAGAGAGAGAGAGAGAGAGAGAGAGGTTGGTTGGTTGTAGAAGCAAGCTGCCCAGATGATGTTGACCACAAAAGAAAAGTTGCGCAATGACAAGAGAAATACTATATGATTCCGGTTATAATGGAAGCTACTTGCGTCACATAAACTTCGGACAAGACTAAACAGATTCTTTCATTAGACGTTATAAACACAAAATGTAATATATACAAATGATATTCGTTTTGTTTGTTCTTTGAAATTTTGCATTCAAATAGAACCTTATGAATCTCCCTCTTATCTGATTATGGAAGATGCTTCGATTTATATCTGCCGCTTTACATGGTGAAAAGGGGGGGGGGGAGAAGCAGTCGCATCAGTCTGATCTTTTCGTCATTATCGTCATCACCTTCTTCATCTTCTTCTTCTACTCAAACACGATTATTGATTTGAGTTTTTTTTTATAGTAATATTAATAAAGGCGGACATCTTCTATTTTTACTGTAGTTATCTCTCCCCCAGAGGCAGAAGCATACAGAGGGAACGAGAAAGTTTCAAAATATCTCTTTTTTAGGAGAAAAAAGAGAATAAGAAGAAGAAGAAGAAGAAGAGATGAAAATAAACTCTTGACAGAAGCTATCTGGACATTACATTGGATGAGATAACATCTGATTGAAATTTGACGACAAAAATCAATTCAATCAATGGTATTCTGGATTTTATAAATATTATTTTTGTTATAACGCCAAATAGTAAAAGTACTCAAACAGATGAGAATAATAGTCAATTTTCATAACAGAAGTTTGTTGAAAAAAGAAGTATATGAGCTGGTTTGTAGGATATTAGTTGAAGGAGCAAGTTGAGCAACTTTCCATTTCGGGATCAGGTGACTGACTGAGACTGGAAAGAAGGAGAAAAGAAGAAAAAAATTTGAACAAAACCGTTGTATAGAGGATAGAGGGTTATAGAAAAGGGAAAAAGGCGACTCGGAAGAAAAATGAAAAATTTGCAGAAGGGAAATGGTCAGTAAAAGAGTTCAGTAGTGGTCAAGCTGTGATTGTGGCGATCATGATAAGAAAATGGAGAAAGGGGGGATTCTGATGATTGACATAAGAAATCAATGGATCGTTGAAAGGGAAAGGAGAAAGATGAACGAGTGATATTAGGAAGCAAAATGAATTAACACCAATGTTTTAAGATATAAGGCTGGCGCAGTCAAAAAAACACAGTTCGAACTACAAATGCACATGTACATATGAGAGATGAGATAACATGAACAAAGATCGTTAGTATCAAGCTGACAAACTTATTATAAAAATAAAGAAATAATAGTTAATAATTCAGAAATCAATCGATTGTCAGAAACTGTAGACGAGTATGTGGAGGCGCTAAATAAGCCGAGGGGCCCGGTTTTGTCCCCTCGACTTTCGAATGCTTAGGACTATGGTGGCTAAATCATGCTGTTGGTTAGGATAGATATGAAAGAGATGGATGAAATAAAAGAAAGAGAGAAAGAAAGAGGCAAAGATTTAGAGAGAGAGAGAGAGACATAGAGAGAGAGAGAAGAGGGAGAGGAATAGAGTTAAGGAAAGAACGACTACTCAAAGGCAATTCAATCAATAATCGAAGGATTATTAAAAGAGATGTTACCGAAATTGCATGTAAAGAGGAAGTCCGTCAGAGAAGAAAGTTCAGTCTGTTCTCATTTTTTCTTTCAAATTATTAGAAATGATAGAAGATAATTTTAAAGATTAATAGGAAAATAAAAACGAAAAGTGTATGAGAAAGTGGGTCTCAAAGGCAATTTTTGAAGAAAAAAATTTTTTTTCTTAGTTTTCAAGAAAAAGAAAAACAGTTTGAACAGAAGAATATAGAAAAGATGCAAATGGATTGGTTAAAGAAGTAAGTAAGAAGAATTTTCAAGCAAATAAGCTGAAAAGCCTGATTGGTTTGTTAATTCGAATGAACTGAGAGGGAGTAAGAGGAAGGAGACGATATTAGGAACAGAGCTTCATAGAGAGAAAGTTGAAAAGACAAAAAGACAAAGAGATAGAGAATGAGGGGCTATGACTAAGAGAGTAACACGTAATATGAAAGTAATGATGAAATGTTTAAGCAAATCATTCAAATCCTCTTAACATTCAAAATTGAAAGACGACGCATATGATGAGATGAACAGAAAAAAATTAAAATTAAATAATTTTAATAAATGTTGAGAAAGATAAAAATAGAAAGTAAAAGTAAGAATATCCGATTTTTGGATGAGATATATAACACAATAAAATGCCGATAATTATTCTTTCTAATGCTTTCTTTTGTATTTGACGAAGAGAGAGAGAGACAGAGAGAGAGAGAGAGATTAAGAGAGCCAAAATGAAGACTGGAGAACGTCTGACACATAGATAGATAGAGAGAGAGAAAGAGAGAGAGACAATGATGATATCTGACCATTGCGAGATGATACTTTCAATCAACAAGAATTTCGATTTGGCACCTGATAAGCAAAATTTGAAAATCTCGTCAAGGCTTCGAAAGGAAATAAAGAAAGTGCAAGTTGAAAGGTAGTTTTGTTAGGTTTTGTGCATACAACGGATGACTGAGTGGACAAATAGAATAAAACTGGACTTGTAGGGAAACATTAAAAGGAAAATAAAAGGAAAAAGTGACACAGGGACTACTTAGAGAGAGAAAAAGAGAGAGAGAGAGACTTTAAAAGAAATGAGTGAAGAGACGAGATAGAGAGGATACTAAGGAAAAGCAGAAAAAGTTAAGAGGGAGAGTTAAAAAGCCGATAATAGCTATAAAATTTCATTAAATTATGAGCTTTGCGTCAGACCAAAAAAGGTTCTTTTACCCTTTCTCTCTTTCTTCCTCTTTCTCTTTCTCTCTCTGTCTCTCTGTCACTCTATATCTTCATCTTCTACAAAACATGATTTCAACGAAATTATTGGTGACTGAATAGTAAACGAATTAAAAGAAAAATGAAAAAAATATAATTTTTTTCGTTTCCTCACTCTCACTCTCTTTATCTCTCTCTATCTCTATCTCCCTTCTATTGCTCTCTCCTGTCTTCCAATTGATGGTGTTGTTTGTTATTGGAGGAAAAACAAAACAAAATAACAGAGAAAACAGCATATTTTATTGAATTAAAGCTTTTGTATAAACTTGAAACTTGAGCTTTTGATCACCATTTTTACTATTTGTCTCCTTTTCAGGTTCTTTTTAAGTCGGTTTTTTTCAATTTTCAATGTTCAAAAATGTTCTAAAAGACTCTCATTTTCAAGTTGTCCATCTATTTCAACACAACGCTCTCTTAGTTTTTAAGCCTTTCTCAGATTCCTAGGGTCCGAAAACAAATAAAGCATGAGGGAATTTGGCGTCCCAAATGGAAACCTTTCGAAACGTTTCGCTGTGACCAAAATAGCAGCCACGATCCAAAAAAAGGAACAATGACAAGCTATTTATTGAAATTAAAAGAATAATACAAACATATATATGTATATACATATAGATGTTATAATAAATAGTAATCGAAAAACATTGAAAACAAACAAAAATTAACAAAACACAGGAGTAATGCTGTCCTCATACGGTGCACACAATGATGGAATGAGAAATGAATGCAACCGCTTCTACTTTTAAGTGACGTGATATTGAACGTGAATGATGAATCATATAAGAGACGTGGCTTATATCTTTAGTATGCACATAACATGATTATTTTCAAATTATCCACAGATTGATGAAAAAAAAATATTCATAATTATAGGGTATAGTTAAAGGATAAATTGGTTGAAAAGACTATTGAGCGCTGCTGTGGAAAGAAGGTGGAGTATAGGAGGAGATGGTTGAACGGCCAGGCTGAGACGGTTGATGGAGGATTTCAGGCAATGTTTGCGAAATGG